ATTTATACAAATAAAATATTAATTGACAAAATAATTATGTTAGTACTTAAAATTTATAAATTTTCATTTTTGCACATGATATATCTTAAAAATATTATAAATTATTAATTAATATTTTAATTTGTATTAAATAACAATGTATTTATTATTTAAAAATTATTTGAGAATATAATATAAATGAATCTACATTTATATAAAAAAAATGATAATGGACTAATTATTTCAGTAGTTAAAAATTATGAATTTACATATGATATGTATCTTTGAAGTTTTAAAAGATTCGATATATTTTAAGATTACATTTTTTTGTAAATTATTAAATGGTATTTTAATTTAAATTTTATAATAACATGTTTATTGTTTACAAAAATAAAAATATTATTCACCAAACATTGTATATTTTTAGTTGACCTTTTTTGTTAATGTTAAAAATTAAAAAGCATAAATATAAAATAATTAAATAATAATTCAAATATAATAGTTGCATATGTTTTCTTTCCTTGGACTTTAATAGAAAATAAAATAATAATTTTTGTGTATGTATTAATTTGTAAAAATCTAATATATGTCTTGGACTCTTGATTAATGTATTGTCAATAAAGTTGTATGATATCTATATTTGTCAAAAAAAAGTTGTATGATATCTCTGCATCCTAGTAAAATAATTGTAAGGCATTTCTTCATATATATCATAAAAATATACATTTCCTATGTATTTATACACTATTTGTGATTATTTTGACATTAAATTTAGTGGTATTAATATACTTATGGAATTTGTATGCATTCTCCTAACGTATCTAAGCGTTTCCATATTTTCATCTGTATCCATGCGTTTCCAAAGCGCATCCATATCCAATTTGTTTGATACGATACCTGATATCGATACTTTAACCCTTGGTTCTTTGACACATCCAATAGGTATATGCCATTCGCCTCATGGCCCCAATTAGGGGTGGATTTGAGCTGAATTGAGCCGAACATGAGTATTGGAGCTCGGTTTGGTAGAAAAATGCAAGGCTTGAGCTGAATTCGAATTAGAAATGGAAGCTCGAGTTCGACTCGATTGTAGAATTCATGTGTTCGAGCTTGATTCGGCTCGAGTTCGATAATGAACCGAGCTTATTGCATTTTGGGACTTACAAGTTTCAGCACACCACCGAACCAAACTAAGCATCTCATTGCATTTCTTTAAATTTTGGGTGTTGTGTTACCTTTGAATGTTGGATGATGGTCCTTGTGGTTACTGGTTATAGAGGAGTTGATGAGCCAATCGCCAAATACGAATAGCTGTAGAAAGGACAAACAAGAACCTCAAATAACAAGAAGAAGTTGTAGAGTTGTAGAGAGCTGATTGTTGATTGCTGAAAGTCTAAGATCATCGATCGTTGCTTCGTCGGGCATCGGTCATCACCTCGTCGGATGTCGGTTGTCAGGCATCGACTGTGAGAGAGCTTGAGATGAACCAAATCTTTGAGACTGGGAGAGTGAAAGTTTCTCTGAAAATGGAAGGGTTGATCGAAGAACGAAGAGGAAGACAGAGGGTTTTTTTGATTTGTTTGTTTGATAAGTTTGATTTTCCCTCTYTAGTCTTCAGACTCTTTACTCTCTAATCTCTTGAATTCCAAATGATAGAATGTGATGGGACCATCATTAAATTGTGTCCCCTCCAATAACATTTTCAAAAGGCATGATATATATAAATATTTAGCATTTTCCCCTTATTATTTTTGAGCCTTGTTGGCTTCAAATGTGGGTGTAGTTTCTGTTGTAAGGCTTATTTAATTGTTACTTTATAGTTGCTATTAGTAGGTTGTCCTCTTAAGATACTGTCAGTTAGTTATTTTTCCTTTTTTCTTATTAGTTTGTTTCTAGGGTGTGCCRCCAGGGGCATACTTGTAATTTCTATTCTTTTTTATTAAGTTAATATAAATAGTGAACTGGCGGCAGCCAGAGATAGTTTTCTTTTTCTCTCAATCATATCTCCCTTTCCTTCTCTTTCTCTCTCTCTCATCTCCCACTCTCCATGAATGATTATAGTGTCCAACATGTATCCTTATTATGCTTAGGTTTCTTGTAGAAATCACAGATAATCTCCTTCTCTTTATCTTCACTGCCCGTTGACTTTACACTAGCAGGGGCAAAATAATCCATTAAACTAACCTGCAGATGCACTTGTCTCTTATTCTCTTCATTACTCACCAAAGAATATGCCTATGTGATAGTTTGACATCATTCTTGGAGAGTATGTTTTGTCTTGTGATGTCATATTTAGGGTTGAATCCTATTAGAAATTAAAACACCTTGTTTCCTTCCACCAACTTGTACGTTTCTGCATCCTTAGTGCTTTCTCACGCAATAGTTTCAAAAAGTCAATCACTTTCCATAAAGACCTCCATCCTTAGTGCTTTCGCACACATGGACTCATGGAGTAGTATGATACTAGAGACCTCCCTCTTGTTACGGATAATGCTTACTATTGTAATGGGCCCAAGAAAAGAAAAAGAAAGAACAAAGAAAAAAGAAAAAAAAAAGATGCAAATATGTTTTGAGTTTGCTTTTGTAGTAGGATCTCCAAAGAGTTGTCTTCAGAAGATTTTTTTGTCAATTTGGACCTAGGGGTATTTTCGTCATTTTATAATTCACATTCTGGTCAGGGGCAGCTGGGTGTGCATCTGTCAGGTTTTGGTCTCTTTGGTGTTTTTATAACAAAATTCATCTTTTGGGGGTTTGTTTGAAGTTAGTTTTGTCGTCGAGGAGTTGTTTGTGAAGGGAGATCATTCTAGGGGCTTATGTTTAAATATTTTGTTTGGCTTCTCCAGCAAGCCATTTTGTCTAATAAAGGAGAAGATGGGCTGTTTCAGTAGGTTTTTTTTGGTTCTTTTCCTCTTGTTTGAGCTGTAACTCAGCCCCAACTAGGGTTTTCAAGTATTGGGAGCTTGGAAACCATTCACTCCCTCTTGTTTGAGTTGTAGCTCGGCCATAACTGTTCCAGGAGGGGTTCTACTTCAGGTTCAAGCCTGAAATCCTTAAGAATACAACTTGTTTTGTTGTTTTCAGCTTGGTACTGTTGTGTTCATTGCTATACACAGCTTGAAGTGCTGCATATAACTTGTTTTCTATCCACTTCATAATGTGAGGTTGCATTGAATTTACAACCCACCTAATGACCATGTAATGTTCCTGCGTCCACTTCTGATAGGAAGGATCAGTCTTCTTTGGCTTCTTACTACTACCTGTAAGAAACCTTAGCTTTCCTCTACTACACATATAGATGCATTTGGATTGAGCCGACTCCATGGAGTTTATCCCATCCAACTTTACTGTAGTCATAGGATTGTAGAAACTATCTACAGCCTCCGTTTGACCAACCTCAGGATACATACCTTGCTTGGGATCAAGTCCAGATTTCTCCATTGATTTAGTTAATGACTGAAAAGCTTACTGTAAATAAAAAAATGTGTCACAACCCCTAAGAAACTGATCTACAATTAATTCCCCTTTACTGGATCAAAATACCTCAACTTGGGACCTGGGAGAAAGTGGAGAAGGTATAACTACTACTACCAGCAAACTCTATTCAGTCTCCAATGTAGATTGATCTCAAAGAGGGTCCACAAGGATGCTTCAAATCCCCAAGTGTGCCAGCCTGAAAGTCCTAGGTACCATAGCCAAAAATTGGTTCCTTCTCTCAGGTTGTTCAGATTTAGGGCAGAACTCTCCAGTAACTTTTCTGGGCTTTAAAACAACTATCTTGGCACTCCTAAATCATCTCCTAACCAGGCAAACTCAAAAGTAGATGATGGCAACTTAGTGTGACATGCACACTACTGATCCTGGAGTGTATGGATCCAAAGGAAAGAGAAAAAGAGGGGAACTTGGATTTTTTTCTTTGAACAGTGTACTTGGCTTTCATACTATGTTGAAAAGTAAACGGCAGTAATCTTCATGGAAAATCAAGAGAAAATAGAAGGTAGAAGAAAGTAGCAACACAGCAGAAAGGATGGAGGAAGAAAAGATAGGGTAATGGGAGAGAAGAGAAATCATAGCCTCCTCCTAGCCTTCTCAATGATATATATTCAGTTAATAATTAAAAAAGGGGAAAGTACAAATCTGCCCCTATATAAGGTGGCAGTAATAAAGAGCAATAAGCAGGGCCTTAGGGCCACCAGAACTAGAGCCCATATATATTACATAAAAGACAAACATGAATAATAAAAGAAAAGATGCTGCTCAGTCCAATGATTGCATTTGGAACACATGCAATCTGGGCTCCTTGTTATATAAGGTGTTTCACCTTTTGGGTTGACTCTTACTCCACCATTTATCTTTAGACTACATGTAAAAACCATCCTTCTGCAGGCATCACCTTCATTTGGAGATCAGATTTCYTTCTCACAGTGGCCATCTCTATATCTGCTGCACAAGCTTAAGGAATCTTGTTAAGTCTTCCCTTGATGCCCTCACAGAGATGATTTGTAGGTTCTTGATGCTACTATTATTAGCATTGTGAATTCTAGCTGCCACTGGATTTCAAGTAACTTTGTGATTATTCCCAGCAGTACTGCCATATCCACATTTGGACATCTCCACTAATTATCTTGGTCTGTATATCTATACCATATATTGTTGGAAAGACTGTTTGAAAGTACTCTTTATGAGAACATAGTATGCGTTTATTTGCCAGACTTCCATTTATGAAGGGCTCCTGGTATTGACTAATTGTTAGATATTCAGTTTTTGATTGTTTCAGAAGAAACATGTTATTGTTGGTTGTTGGATACAAAGACCTCCTGAGCAAGCTAAAAGAAAATCTGTCATGGTTTCTTTCTTACTTTGACACCTCTGATAGAAACTGTGTAAGGACACAAAGAATAAATTGAGCATGCTTTCGGAAGAAATATGGACAATTCTTTTCATTTAAATAATGTTGAAGCCATAAATCTGATAAAACATGTAATACATAAGTGACATTGACCTATTGTGGTTGAGCTTTTCAGTTATTGAGTGTACCGGCTTTCGTGCAAAAGACACTGGTAGAAAAGTTTATCGTGCTCGGTTTTCTTCTGTTACTGAGAAGGACATTTTAATGGCCATGAACAACCTTGTTGAACCCAATAAAGATGAAGCATTGGCTGTGGATGCACGCCAAGAGATAGATTTGAAAGTTGGTGTTGCATTTACACGGTTTCAGACTCGTTATTTCCAAGGAAAATATGGAAACCTCGATTCCAGGGTTATTTCGTATGTTTCTATCACTGGCTTAAGATTTTAGAACCATAATGCTGCTCTTGCATAGCTATTACCTTCTTCTTTTTCCTTGTTCTGGTCCATTTCTTTTCTACCAATATATATACAATTATGTATGCATATCCATTTCTGTTGTATTGTTGAATTTATCTGACAAAATGCCTTGTTATCTTCCATTTCTTTTGTTTTTCTTTTTTTCCTTTTCCTTTTGGGAAAATTGTCTATGGTGTTGTCGGCAGAAATTGCTCCTGTTGGTTACAAACATTATCTTCATTGTTGTGGTGGGAGCCATTATCATCTCTATTGTTTAACAATATTAACTGTTCATTTTATATGTATTAACATGAGTATCTTCATTATGCATTTATTAATCACAGTTTTTTTACAAAAATTCCAATAATCACTTTTATCATCGTAACTGGTGTAAAAACTTTCTTTTATCTCATTTTTCTTTAATTGGTAACTCCATTAGGAACCTCATTGGCTATTCAGATTGGTTTATTTCTTCCCAATGCCTAAAACTATCCTATTTGTAAATGGAATGACCACTTTAAAATAGTAAATATCTCTCTAGGGTTTTGAAGCAAAGATGCATGCATGAATGAAGAAGAAAGACGGAGGAAAAGATATGATATGGGCAATTACAAGGCTGCCCTTATCTACACTATGAAATGCTGATAAGTTCCTTGGTTTTAATGCATTTCATAAAGGTTAAATCAATGTATCATATCATATAAGATTACAAGACTGCCCTTATCTATACTATATAATGCTGATAAGTGCCTTTGTTTCAGTGCATTCCATAAAAGTTACATCAATATATCATATCATATAAGGTTATACTTATCTTTACCCTTTTATATTTACTTGCACATGTTCATAGCACATGCCTTTACACTAGTGTGATTAAATACAATTATACACATAATAATCACATTGATTACTTTCAATATCTCAACATTTAGCAACAAAAAGTTTTTCCTCGAGTTCCATTAACAAAGAAAAAAATAGTAGATGCTTGGCTATGCTTAATCCGGTCAACATTTTCCACCTTGGCCTTGGGTTCACCTGCAGTGGCTGCTAACGTTCCAGTGTTGGAATGAGGAGGTTTGACCAATTCATCACTGACTTAGAGCTGTTTGATTTACCTCTGAATGGGGGAAACTTACCTGGTCAAATGGCCAATGTCCAGCTATACTTCAAAGGCTAGATAGGTTTTTGATATCAAGGGAGTGGATGGATTGAATGGGGGTATTAATACAGGAACCATTACCAATGTTTATGTCAGACCACAAGCTAAATCTTAGGTCCGAAACCGTTCAGGTTTGAAAATGTTTGGCTTCTTCAACCTAATTTTGTGGAGTGGGCTGAAGAGAAATGGAATTCCTTGCAGGTTGAGGGGTCAGCTGGATTCAGAGTAATGAGTGATATTTTATTCAAAAGAGAACAATATGATAATACAGTACAGACTGCAATTACTTAAAGGAGAGCTGAAAGGAAGAAGACAGGAAGAGCTTGGGACTGAGGAAGTTAGAAAAAAGGAGGTGTTGGAGAAGATTGCTAGACTAGACAGATTAGAGGAGGAGGAAATATTCCCTAGAGAAGCTAAGATGGAGAGAGATTGCTTGGAGAGGGGGCTAGAGAGGCTGCTTCTGAAAGAAGAGGTGAGTTGGAGGCAGAAATCAAGGTGGGTAACTCACCTTTGAAAGAGCAGTTTCCTTCTTTGTTCTCTCTCTCAAGGTTTAAAAATGAGCCTGTTGCTACTTTCCTAACCTATTCTACTTCTGGCCCTGTTTGGAACTTGGGCTTCCGGAGGCTTCTTAGAGTCTCTGAATTGGATTCCATTTCTAATTTGATTAAGATTTTGGAGGAGGTAGTTGTTGACCCCTCTAGTTGTTGACCCCTCTTAGAGACACATGCTCCCAGAGTATGTGCTTTATGCTGGGAAGCTATCCTAGGAAAGTGCAACACTTGTGACTTACTTCAAAAGAAAAGGCCAAGATGGTGTTTATCCCCGCACTGGTGTATCTTATGTAAGAGGAATGGTGAGATCTTTATCACTTATTTGTTTCCTGTCCTTTTGTTTCAGAAATCTGGTTTTGGTTTTTCTCTCTTTTTGGTTGCAGGTGGCCCACTCCCCCAAGTGTACTAAGCTTGTTTAACTCTGTTCCAGTGAGGGGTTTAAAAAAGAGAGGTAAGATCTTGTGGAGATGTGTAAGAGCAGCTGTATGTTGGTCAGTGTGGGAGACTAGTGATGGGATTCTATAGAAATCTATACACAGGAAGGCAATGGTGTTGGATATATTTGGGGGATGTAGAGTCAAAGAAGTTGAGTGAGAGGGCAGCTGGGTGGCTGGAGAGGGAGATTGAAATTGGAGAAGTGAGGGAGGCTTTAAAGAGGATAAATGGAGACAAATCTCCGGGGCTTGATGGTTTTAACTTTAACTTTCTAAAACAGTGCTGGCATTTCTTAGAAAATGAGTTTATGCAGATGTTCAATGAGTTCAGTGAACACAAGATAGTGGACAAGAGAGCTAATGTAACCTTTATTTCACTAATATAAAAGAAGATGGGAGCTGTAAACATAAAGGATTTCCGGCCAATAAGTTTAGTTTGTAGTCCTTATAAGCTTCTGGCAAAAGTTCTTTCAATGAGACTAAGGAAAGTGCTTCATGAAGTAGTGGGGGAGATCCAAATGGCATTTGTGGAGGGAAGACAAATCTTGGATGGGGTGATGGTGGCAAGTGAAATGCATTGACTCAAGGCTGAGAAGTGGGAGTCCTGGCTTAGTGTGCAAATTAGATATAGAGAAAGCATATAATGATGTGGAATGGGGATTCCTATAAGAGATTCAGAGATTGATGGGGTTTGTGGAATAATGGAGGGGCTGGATGTATGGCTGCATATCATCAGTTTCTTTCTTAGTTATCCTGAATGGAATATCCACAGATTTCTTCCAAATATCGAGGGGGCTGAGGCAAGGGGACCCATTGTCCCCCTTATTTTTTGTCTTAGTAATGGAGGCTCTAAATCTGTTAACAAGGAAAGGTGTCCAGGAGGATTCAATGTCGGGATTGAGGGTCCTTGCATTTCTCATCTGCAATTTGCAGATGATACTCTAATCTTTCTTGATGCAGTGGAGGAGCAAGTTCTGAATTTAAGGGATGTATTAGCAAATGTTGAATTGCTAACAGGGTTAAAGGTAAATCTAGAGAAGAGTGTCTTGATTGCAGTTGGAGATATCAGTCAGGAAGAGATGTCATCTCTTGCAGCAGTTTTGGGATGCAGAACTGGGGAGCTGCCTTTTTCATACTTAGGACTCCCAGTAGGGGCTAAGTTTGGATCAGCTAACATTTGGAGACCTCTCATAGAGAGAGTGGAAATGAGATTGGAAAACTGGAAGGCGAGATATCTTTCTTTGGGGGGGGGGCAGAATTACCTTACTAAGAAGTGTGCTCCAAAGTCTTCCCACCTACTATCTCTCACTGCTGAAAGTTCCAAATTCTGTAGCTGATAAAATAGAAAAAATTCAGAGGGACTTCCTTTGGGAAGGGACAAAGGGTCCAAGGAAGTTCCATCTAGTAAGGTGGGAGAAGGTTTGTAGGCCGAAAGCTTTAGGGGGCTTGGGTTTCAGAGGGATAAAATAATTCAATAAAGCTTTGATGGGGAAATGGTTATGGAGGTTTGGGTTAGAAAAGGAAAGAGAATCATTATGGAGAAGAGTGGTGGCAGGGAAGTACGGGGTGGTGAGATTTGGGTGGGAACCAAGGGAGGTATCCAATTCCTATGGGGTGGGTGTGTGGAAGATTATGTGATGTGTGCCCAAGATTGTAGGGGCTGGAGATAGAGTGAGGTTTTGGGAGGATGAATGGAGTGGGGTTGGGAAGTTATGTGATGTGTGCCCAAGATTGTACAGGCTGAAAGATCATCAGGTTACGGTGGCTCAATGCTATGAAGTTAGTGGTGAAAAGGTGGTTTCGAGCCCCAAGTTTAGAAGACCTTTGCGGGACCAAGAGCTGGAGGAATGTGTTCTGTTATTGAACAGATTGGAGCAGATCAATATTTCTACTGCATGTGAAGATGGTCAGTGGTGGAAGGAGTGTAGGAATGGAAAATTTACAGTGAAATCATTTCACATGGCCCCTGTTAAGGATTGGGTAGTTAGTGATCGACTGTGTGGAGTTTGGGGCAATCCAGTTCCACCAATAATTGAAGCTTTTGCATGGTTGGTTGCAATGGATAGTATCCTCACATCAGATCACCTAAAAAGAAGCGGGAATGTGTTCTGTTATTGAACAGATTGGAGCAGATCAATATTTCTACTGCATGTGAAGATGGTCAGTGGTGGAAGGAGTGTAGGAATGGAAAATTTACAGTGAAATCATTTCACATGGCCCCTGTTAAGGATTGGGTAGTTAGTGATCGACTGTGTGGAGTTTGGGGCAATCCAGTTCCACCAATAATTGAAGCTTTTGCATGGTTGGTTGCAATGGATAGTATCCTCACATCAGATCACCTAAAAAGAAGCGGGTTTTGCTTGGCTAGCTACTGCTATATGTGCAAGTTGGAGGAGGAAACCGTTCACCATTTGTTTTTTTCCTGCCATTTAGAAAATTTCATCTGGAGATTCTATTGTTTCCTGTTTGGGATGCCCATCTTTCAGCCTGCATCCTTAGCAGAAATCTTTTCCTTGTGGCCAAAGTTCAGAGGAAGCTTGAAAGCTAAAATTGTTTGAAGCTACATTCCTTTTGCAGTATGTTGGACTCTGTGGGGGGAAATAAATAGGAGGCTGTTTGAAGGAAAGGAAAGTAGCTCTGAAGTGATTGTGGCTTCGGTTGGCGAACTCATCACGAGCTGGGTTTTGTGTCTCCCAGAATTTGAACAATCTACACCTTCAGATTTTGCAGATAATTTTTGGAATACCTTAGAGCTTCAAAACTGTATTATGAATCAGTTTAGTCTAAACTGAAACTCTTGATGTATGTTTTTTCTTT